AATCCTGGCATTCCACCTGTTCCCTCCTCACCTTCCCACTCCTGACATTCCACCTGCTCCCTCACTTTCCCATTCCTCACTTCATCTGTTCCTCACCTTCACATTCCTCTCACATTCCACCTGCTCTCTCTTCACCTTCCCATTCCTGACACTTCCTGCTCCCTCACTTTCCCACTCCTCTGACATTCCACCCCCTCCTTCACTTCCTCACTCCTGACACTCCATCTCCTCCTCACCTTCCCATTCCTTACACTCCATCTGTTCCTCACCTTCCCACTCCTCACTCCACTGCTCCTCCTCACCTTCCCACTCCTCTGCCATTCCACCTGTTCCCTCTTCATCTTCCCATTCCTGACATTCTTCCTGCTCTCTCACTTTCCTACTCCTGACATTCCACCTGCTCCTTCTCACCTTCACATTCCTCTCACATTCCACCTGCTCTCTCTTCACCTTCCCATTCCTGACACTCTTCCTGCTCCTCCTCACCTTCCCACTCCTCTGACATTCCATCTCCTCCATCACTTCTCCACTCCTGACACTCCATCTCCTCCTCACTTTCCCACTCCTGACACTCCACCTGCTCCTCCTCACCTTCCCACTCCTCTGCCATTCCACCTCCTCCCCTTCCCATTCCTCACTCCACCCACTCCCTCCTCCCCAATCCCACTTTTCCCACTCCCCCTGCTCCTCCTCCCCACCCCACCAACCCCACCCAGCCTCGGCTGTGGCTCTTTGGTGGCACCAGAAGCCACCACAACGTCCCCCCTGTGGAGACCCAACCACACAAACCTCCCCCCCAGCTGCCATTCCCAACCATTCCCGGCCATCCCACAAATCCAGCCTGACTCCAGGTGCAAAGTCCTGCTTGTATTTGGCTGGTAAAGTGCGAGGCAGGGACACAAGGCCTGGTGGTGGAGCTTGGACAGGACGTGTGGCAGCTCAGAGTGGAAAAAAGGCTTTTCCAGGGCTGCTCCGAGGCCGCTGGAGGTGGGAATTAGACCTGGAACAGCCCCCTCCCGATTCCCACCTCGCTGGAATCCTGGGAAACGCTCCAGGCACGACGAAAGAAGGACCAGGCCGTGTCTCTGAGGTGGAGCTCTACAAACCCTTGGACACAGCAAAGCACGGGGCAGGGAGGGCACACCCGCCCGGCTCCTCCGGGCGTTTGGGATCACCGGGATCACCCGCTCTCCCAAAAAAAAAGCCCCCCCAAGAGCCCCCAGCCTGGCTTTTTCCCCCCACAGTCCAGGAGTCTGGGGCGAGTTCCGAGCTCCAGAGGGTCAGGAAGGCCCTGGATGCAGCGATTCCTCAGAGGACCTGCTCGGTGCTGGACGAGGAGATGTCCAGGAGCCTCCAGGCCGCGTAGGGATTGAGTTCGTCCTGGTCCCGGCACAGGGCCCACACGTAGAGCATCCTCAGCACCTTGTCCTGCAGGGAAAATCCCGGGATTAGCCAGGGCAGGGACACAGCTCCCGGCTCCCAGGCACAGGATCCGTGTTTCTGATGGATCTGAGGGAGCTAAAGAAAAGGGCTCCCAATTCCCAGTTTGGAGGGAAAGGATCCATGTTTCTGATGGAGCTGAGGGGGGCTCAGCCTGGAGAAAAGGGGCTCCCAATTCCCAG